TTTTCCATATGTCCGGGACAATCTCTCTCTCTGTGGAGCATCCCCAGGACTGGGAAGCACACCATCTCCCCAGAATAGTGCACAGCCTGTGCCACAGCCCAGTGCCTTCCAGCGCGTATGCCAGCCTCTGCCAGCTAGTCGGCTTTGCTCCAACCCTGTGAGGCCTACAGAGAAGCCAGCACAAGAAGCCGAAGAGAAGACGTGGCTGCCCAGCTGCAGGAAAGAGCAGCCCCAGCCCCGGAGTGATGAGCACCTCGGGGGGCCCATTATTATCCGGGACAGCCCCATTCCCCGAACTCCACCAGCACTGCGTGCGTGTGCCCAGGAGCACCAGTCTCTCCCACAGAAGGAGAATGCTAGACCACCCAGTTCTCCGCCAATGCCCATCATAGACAACGTCTTCAGCCTGGCCCCCTACCGTGACTACTTGGATGCACAGACCCCTGAGGCCACAGCTGAGCCCACTGAAGTCATAGCTGAGCTGGCTGAGGCCACAGCTACCAGCGAGAGCCAAGATGAGGGTTGTAGGGGGGCCCTGCCTGCCACAGAGGGGTCCTCAGGGCCACCCTGCTCACTCCACGAGGAGGTTGCCTTGGACTTGAGTGTGAAGAGGGCTCTGGCAGAGACTGCCCCTGTCAAGTCCCCCAGCCCTGCGATGCAGACCAACCCCGCTGCTGCAGCTGTGGATGGGACAGCTGTAGGGACCACACTGTCAGGTTTGCCAGCCCTGAAAAGGATGGTCACAGAAGTATCTGGGACACCAGTGACCCCAGAGGCCATGGCAAGGACCAGCTTCCCAGGAGCACCTCAGATGCCAGTGACCACGGAGGGTACGCCAAGGACTAGCTTCCACAGCTCTGTGGCCTTCATGTTCCGGAAGTTCAAGATACTCCGCCCAGCACCCTTACCTGCAGCCATGGACCCATCCACACCCACCCCACCTCCAGCACCCCCTCAGCCCACTGAGTCCACTCCACCTCCTGTACCCATGGGACTGCAGCTTCTTACCCAGCCCTTGCCAGTGGCCTGCTTCAGCCTGGCCCTACCTAGTCCTCCAGCCATCGCTGTGGCCTCCCCAGCCCCTACCCCCATTCCCACTCCTTCCCCTGCTCCTCCCCTACCCCCTACCTTTGGCCCAGCCCTTGCCCCTGCCCCTGCCCCTGCCCCTTCCTCTGCCCCTGCCTCTTTCTCTGCTCCTGCCCCAGCCCCAGTTTCCACAGGGGCCTCAGCAGACTCTACAGAGCAGCACTTTACAGGGCTGCACACATCCCTGTGTGATGCCATCTCAGGCTCCGTGGCGCACTCTCCACCTGAGAAGCTTCGTGAATGGATGGACACGGCTGGGCCATGGGGCCGGGCAGCGTGGCAGGACTGCCAGGTCGTACAAGGGCTGTTGGGCAGGCTGCTGTCTCAGCTGCAGAAGTTTGTGTGCACGCAGCAGTGTCCCTTCCCCCATGTGGTACGGGCTGGTGCCATCTTTGTGCCCATCCACCTGGTGAAGGAGCGGCTCTTCCCAAGGCTGCCGCCCACTTCAGTAGACCACGTGCTACAGGAGCACCGTGTGGAGCTTCGGCCCACGACACTATCAGAGGAGCGTGCACTGCGGGAGCACGCCCTGCAGGGCTGCACCTCACGCATGCTGAAGCTGTTGGCCCTGCGCCAGCTGCCTGACATCTACCCCGACCTGCTGGGCCTGCAGTGGCGTGACTGCATCCGCCGCCAGCTGGGTGAGCATGGGCAGCCCTAGTAGCCACTAGAGCTGTGTGACAAGTATCAAGTGTGTGCTCGGAGTGAGTGGGTCACGGCGGGTGGCTTGTTCCAGGAATTCGTGCCAGGGTGGGCTCTAGGAACCCCTCTTCCTCTACATCCTCCAGAATCAGTGAGTGTTCTGTATCGAAACCTTCCTGGCCCTTCCTGGTGTATCTCCTTCCTGGATGCCCTCTTCCTCCTCCTTCCCTCCTAGTCTTTGGTACAGGCTTCTCTTTTAGCATCATGGGGCTCAGCTGTGCCCTGTCTTCTACCTTGATGTCCTTTGCCTGTGTCTTTGTACAACCTTGCCTCCCCTTTCCTGAGCTCAAGCTCCAGATAACCCACTTCCTCCTGGTCTCTAGTGCCTGGTGTCTCCACCCACTGCACACTCCTGGCTTCTACTCTAAGCTCCCTTTCACCCCTAATCATGTGTATCCCAGTGAGGGGTCACCACCCCTAGCACTTGCAGGCACAGACTATCCCCCAGAAGTCTGAGAATTGTTTGTGGTTTGCTTTCCCTCCCCTAAGTGACAGGCAGCACCTGTTCTTGGCTGGCTTCCTTTGGCTGTGATGTTACAGTGTGGACACTTGGGCTCCTTCAGGCTGACCTTGGGTGAGGGCATTAGTGTACCCATCCTCAAGGCCTTCTGACCCTCTGCTGCCCTGACCCAGCCTGTGTCCAGCTCTTTACCTACAGAACCTGGTCTCCTCCCCTGGCTTTGGCCTTGCCCTGGGCCCTCCACCCAGTCAGGATGGATCAGGCCTGGGGCAGTGTGTGAGGCTGAGGTTTGGCTGACTAGCATTCCTGACTCTGGACTCTCCCTTTGGGGCAGGAATCTTAGTGAGTTGGCATGCCTGCCAATGGCTAGGTCTTGTGCCCTCTCCCCACTCTCTCCCTGAGCCACAGATGCCCCTAGGGAATACTCCCTGCTGCTGCTGCTTCTGGGGTATCCTGTTCCCCCTGGCTAGCTCCCTGGAGTGCACTGGGCCCCCTTGTCTTCTGGTGTCCCTTTCAGGGAGCCCCTGGCTGGGCTGTGGCTCTTGTTGGGGGTCCTGAGGCCGGTATGGCAGAAGGATGATGGTTCTCATGTATGGTAGGGCTCACACGTGCCTCCATTTCCTCATCTGTACAATAGGCTTTGCTGGGCGCCGTCTTGTCCTTGGTCCTGCCTGGGCGCTCATCTGATGGGTTCCGGCCTTCCCTGGGAGGAGCAGGGCTTGGGAGGGAAGGGCTGTGTGACCCTCTGTGCCATCTTGGCTGGTGACTAGAGACTGGGAGGTGGTGTGCAAGGTCTATATCCTGACTCTGTTCATTTTCCAGGTGACCTTGGAACCAAGGCTGGAACTGTGTCCCTCTCAGAGCCCGTTGTGGCCAGAGATGAGCCAGAGGGCCCAGCCCTGGCTCCGAAGTCACCAGTTCCCAAGGTCAGGAGACCAGGGAGGAAGCCACCAGGAAGCCCGGGCCCAGAGAAGACAGAGGCACCTGCTGAGAGAGCATCGCAGGGTTCTTCCCCTGCTCCTGCTGCCAGTGCCAGCCCGCCAGGCCCCACCCTGAGGGCCCGCTTCCGAACCCTGCTGGAAACTGCCTGGCTCAATGGCCTGGCACTGCCCACATGGAGCCACAAGACTTCTGGACCCGACCGGGCCCCACCCTGCCCCCAGCTGCTAGGCAGCCAGAGCCATCCCCTGTAGTGCTGGTCCGGAGTGTTGTTGGGGTGGCCGCCTGTCCTGTGAGCATCCTCAGCCCTCACTGGGCTACCAGCTGGGCTGTGAGCTATGAGCTTCTGAGCTGAAGGTTTTTACCAGGAAGGACTCCCTGCTGCTTCCTAGAAAAAGCCTGGCTGATGTGTCCCTCACTGGTGACCTGGGCAGAAGCTCCACCTCTCTCCAGCCCTCATTTCCTATTTGTAAAATAGGACGGCACAGCCTACCTCGAAGGGTTGTTGGGTGGCATGACACCCATGTGATGGGGTCTCTATCCCTGGCCCCAGACAAATAGGAGGAGAAGTGGCAGATCCTCCTGGGAGAAAGTCCCTGTGTCTCCAGACTTGGCTGTCTTCAAGTGGCACCTTGTAAAGTGTAGATGACATGCTTTTCCCCAGCACTGCAGCAGGGACACAGCTCAGCCTGCTGCTAGCGTCTTTCTGGGCCTGCTGCCCCTGATCCAGGAGGCCCCAAGCCAGTCCCCAATCGACAGTGACTTCCTGAGCTGCCTCCCCCACCTCAGGCCTTGTCCCAGGAATGTTGTGTTTTCTGGAGTCTGCTGGACAGCTGCAGGGACTCAAGGACCAGAGCAGACAGGCCAAGTGGCAGCTGAGTCTCAAGATCTGGACTGAGGACCCTGGTCCTCCCCACCACAGCATTGTCAGCCAGGTCTGCTATGAGCCACTGCCCTGGAGGGTGCTGGCCTGAGCTGGCAGGCTGGGCCCTTTTGCCTTATTTAAGGGTTTGGGGTACACCTGAGAGCTGAGTTATTAAAGCATTTGAGTGGTTTTGGAGCTGGGGTCTGGCTGTGTGAGAGGTTGTGGGTTCTCAAGACTCCCCAGGGTCCTGGCTACTGTGAGCCTTATAACCCAGTAACCGATAGTGCTCACCACACCACATGCCTTCCAGGACTGAGGTTGTGTCTGCCAGTCTGGAGCTGTCCCCTCCCCCAGATACCCACCCTGTGGGCCCCTGTCCCAGGCAGCAGCAGTGACTGCCTGCAGGTTGCTTTCCCAGCCATCCTCTTGGACCAATGCCAAGGGTGTGTGAGCAGGGCCAGGACTTGGAGTGGAAGTTGCCTGAGGCTGAGTGGCCCCAGAGTTCTCTTCACACCCCACTGCTTTCTCAATCCTCTCCCCCCTTCGTTTATGCCTACAGATGACAGCCTAAACTAACGTCCAGAATGAACAGCAATTTTTACGCCATCTCAGTGCTCCCTACCTTTTCTATACCGCAGAGGACCAGTGTGAGGGTCTTAGCAAGGTTGACAGCCCTTCTTCCTGCTGCCTCTGGCCTGATAACCCTGGGCCCCTCGCGGGGTTGCAGGCAGCAGGGGTCACAGGGTTCCAGTATTCTGGAACCTGGGGCAAGAGGATGGCCATGAGTTCGAGGCCAGCCTGAGCTACATAGCGAGACCCTGTCTCAAAAAGACACAAAAAACAACAGAAGACTGATGCGCCCTTTCCTGAAGACTGCTGTGGGCTCTGAATAGCTCAGCCAGGAGAGAGCAAAGCCAGCTCTCCGATGGTGTGTTGTTCTGGATACCCCGCAGGCTGGCCATTAGGGAACCCTGTGAGCCCCTGTGAGCAGGGACGGCTCAGGCAGATCCACCCAGCCAGGCTTCAGTGGCTGTGAGCTCCGAGATACTGGTCCAGGCAATGCTGAAAAAAATACCCTTGGCTGCATCACAAGGAGCAGAGCTCTGAGAGAGGAAGGGGACAAACCTGAGGACTCCTGAAAGCATCAAGAAGAAAGGTTCATTGGCCACATTCTTTGGAGGCAGGGGTCTGGCAGGGGAAGGCCAGGGAGACCAGGACACAGCGGATCCAGAATAACTCCTCCTTCCTTGACTGTCCCAGGGGTGGAGACATAAGACTTCTGTTGAGGCCCTGGGCCAGTAAGTCACCGGAGGGAAACTTCAGTACATTAAATAGGAAAACTTCCTAACCAGCTGAAGCTTGGATAGTGAGTTCCCCATCACTGGGAGCATTCAAGCTTCTAAATCCTTGCACTGGGAAGAAGTTATCCAGAGGGTTCTGGGTCTGTCCAGAGCTCATTGTCAAGTGGGGCTGTGACAACCTGGAACTGCTCATGAAATCACAGAGCTGCTGGTCTAGGTCCTCCTTCCCCAGAGGCTTGAAAACAGAAAGAGCTGGACCCCAGGGGACTGGTGTCTATTAATAGGTCATTTCTGCCCCATCCTGCTGCCTCTACCTCCACCTCCCCTGTCCCATTGTGTAGTGGAATCAGACATAGGCCACTGAGGTCACACAGCACAGAGGCTTCTGCTGGTCCTGGACATGGCAGGGAACAGGTGAGGCTAGTAGCCAGGGACAATGCCCTGTGCTGCGTCCACTCATCTGAATTCCAGGATGCCAACGCCCTTGAAGGCAGGGAAGGCCTGAGTACAGGGGTAGGAGCTGAGGACTAGAGGCCTGAGGCCACCTGCAGCCTCAGTCTCTCTCCTGACCTCTCTGCCTCCTTGGGCTACCTTGTCACCTGGGGTTCCAGTACATGCTCTCTCTGGTCCCTTCCCTTCACCCCAGGTCACCTGCCCCTCTTCAGAAGAGTGTCCTCTGGGCCACCCTCACATGCTGGGAATCTGCTCTGCCTGCCTGTACCTTCCCCCTTGTTTAAACTTTCTATTTTTGTGTTTCTTTGAGACAGGGTCTCACTATGTAGCCCAGCCTGGCCTTGAACTTGTGGCAGTCCTTCTGCCTCAGCCTCCTGAGTGCTGGGATCACCAGATTCAGCTACTTATTTTTTTTTTTTTGAGAAGGGATTTTTGTTAAATTGCCCAAGCAAACAGGGCTGGAACTTGCAATTTCCTGCCTCAGCCTCTCAAGTGTGCTTCCAGGCCCAGCTTGTCTCTCCCTTTCTCTAGTTTGTCAGGTGGCTGCAGTGAGGCCCCATCATTCTTTCTGTTTGCTCTTTGTGCAGATAGAAGCCCACCCGAGGGCAGGAGCCCTGATCCTCCAGCCCTAAGTGGACACCCAGTGATTCTAATTACCTAAGAACTGAGCCATCAGAGGAAGGAACTAATGAATGATGGACAGAGACTCAGTGCTCCCCCTGGCGGAATGACTTGGAGTGACACTGCACCCAAGGTGCCTTTGCCAGCCAGGGTTGCAACCAAGGCAGCAACAGGGCCTGGCGATAGTGACAGGGACCAAGGATTCCTAATGCAGCCTTGGGCCACACAGAAAAACCGTCCTCTGGCCACCAGGTGAGCTTTCTGAAGCAGGGAGTTTTTTTCGCCACCGCCCAACCCACCTGCCCCTGGGGGAGGAGAAACCTTAGCCAGGTTGGGCAGAGTTCAGTGGCTGGCCCTGGAGTGATCAGCAGGGAGGTAGGGCAGGTGAGATCCACAGAACCCCAAGTGAAGGCAGGTGCCCACTCAGCTGCCACATGCCCCAAGGTTTCAGGGCTGCGGAGAGTGGCGGAGAAGACCTTATTGGTGACCCTGGAGGATGTACCTGGGTCCTAGGGTGGAGAACACTGAGCCCTACACAGAGACCATCTGGCCAGGGAGGAGCAGGGTGGCAAGCTGGATAGGGTTAGCATCCCCATGGGGCCTCAGGGAGCCAGAGTTGGGGTGGCCTCAGGCTGGATATGGCCAGCCCCTGATGTAAACAGGAGCCTAGTATTGGGGGTTCCAGATGTGGGTACAGATGTGGAGGGGGTAAGGGGAATGACAGCTGGCTGCTGGTCTGGTCTGGAGGTGACAGGTGTCTTCAGGGTTACAGTAGCAAGAGCATCATGTTCACAGATAATGCAGAGCCTTGCTGGACCTCTGCCCTAACCCATGGGCAGGAAAAGGCCAGGTGGGTGGCATAGCAGTGACCTCCTGGAACCGAGAGGCCAACATCTCCACCGATGTGGGCTGGGACCTAGAGCTCCTGTGGACTGCAGCCTCAGTGGGTATGACTGGGGCTGGGCCAGGTGTGGCCCTGTCCAAGGTCCCAGCAGTCTCTTAAGGGCAAGCAGGTGTGGGCATGTTGTCCAGCAGGGTGTTTCCTGCCTGGTGCAAGAGCAGGAGGTCACACTGGGACCATCCCTGGCCCGGGGATGGAGGGGACATTGTGCACATCCAAGAGTGTGTGGCATGAATTGAGATGCTTCACGGCTGCCTCGATGTCCTAAATTGATTCAAAATGCTTTCCTCTCGTGGTCATTTTGACTTTGGGGAAGAATCAGAAGTTGTATGATGCCAGATGTGGTGAATAAGGTGGATGAGGATACACCATCATGTTTTCACCAGCCTGACTTTCTCTTGGCTAGTACTGGGTGTCATAAAGAATCCATTTGCCAAAAATAGGCTTTTGGAAGTATAGTTTATTTCAGTGAACAGAGACTAAAATCAGGAGATTCTAGCAGCTACCTCTGAAAAGTTGAGTTTAGCACATCCAAGTGTGGATGGGCTGACACTGGGAGAGAGAGTGGCAGCTAGGTGGAAGAGATTTCATCTGTGAGAGGATGGGCTAACACCAGGAGAGAGATATTAGCAACTAACTGGGAAAGGAATTAGGCTTATATAATTTTGAAGGGGCTAAGGAATCTGGGGTGAAATATTTATGACATAGATAACCAAGGGCAGTCTGCTCAGGTGTGTACACAATTACTGGATTTCTTGGTGCCAGGCAGTTGTATACTACATTTTGAGTCCATTTGCTCTATTTACTGGGAAGGTGTTTGCTAAAAGCAGCCTGTTTGCTTTCTCCTGTTTATAAAGGACTCACTTAAGTCAGGACTGACGTTGGGCAGCAGCATTCACTGTATTTTTTTTTTATCATATCTTGTCAAGATATTCAGGAAAGGACTTCCAGTCCTTCAGAAAGTAGCAAGAATGATGGGATAAATCTGTTCAAAGTGAGGGGAAGAGTTTGGGGGGATTCGTGGGAATGTATCTTTTACTAACTGTAACTTTTAAAAAATTTAAATATATATATATATATAGATATAGATATAGATATAGATATTTCTTTTTCGACTAGGGATCTAATTCAGAACCTTGCGTTTGCGAGGCAGGGGGCGGAACCACTGAGCTAAATCCCCACCGTAAGTCTTCTCTTTAATTCCTTCTTTTCAGAAGGTCCCCAAATCTCAGTTCATTCATTCATTCAACACTCATTGAGACACCCACTGGAGACTGATGACAGATAGGGTAGCTGGAAATATATGGAGATGGACAGTAATCAAATGATTCAAGCAAATGTAAACCTGTAACTTGTGATGAGTAGCATGATAAAGGAGCCAGATGGCGCTCTAGCAGCCCGTAATAGGAGAATCTGACCTTCAATAAGGATTTAAATAGGTCTTTTGAGAAAAAAAAGGCAACCGAACGTAGTGATTCCAGCGCCCCGCCGTCCCCACGGCTCCGCCTTCCCCTCAAGGAGCCGCAGTCACGTGGCCGCGAGGTCATCTGACCGCACCGGAAATTGCCTCCCTCTAGCTCCCGGCGCCATGGTGAGGACGGTGTGCATAGTGGGACGCGGCCCGGCGGGTTAGGGAGCACAGAGTCGGGGTGATCGGGAGGGCGGGTTGCCCTGCGACCCCGGGAGTGAGCCATCCCGAGGCGACCGCTTCTGGCCCCCCATGCCGTCTCCGGTGTCCGCTTCCGGAAGCCCCACGCTTTCAAAAGCAGCTTTGCCTGGGCTACTCGGTGCACCCGCCTTGTCCTCCTGCACAGTTGGTTTTGCGGGCTACTCTGCGCCAGACCCGGGATTTCAGCTGAAGATCGGAAGGGAAGTCAGAGCTTGCAGCCGGGTCAGATGGGTGACCTGGGAAGCTGAGGAAGGAGAATCAAGAGGTCGATCCCAGCCCCGGCAATTTGGCAAGACCCTGTCTTAAAGAAAAATAAAGGGCTGGCGATGTAGCTCAGTGCTTAAGGCTCTGGGTTCAATCCCCCTAGTCCAAAACAAGACAACAAAGCGCCCCAGGAGCAGAGGCCTAACTTGCTTTTGTGTAGGTCGGGTTCCTAAGGGTATCAATGAGGAGGGAGCAGAAGACGGGATGGCTGGGTGAGGCACAGTCCCTGTACCCAGGCTTGGGGCAAGGGTGGGAATTAATGTGCACACCTTGAGGGCGGGAATGGAGGTCAGGGAAGGACAGGCACGCAGAGCTCAGTCTTGATGGGTCTGGGCTCACATGAAAATACTGAACACACCCACTGCCCCCCAGAAGGGGGCGCTTTAGAAGGTGGACCTGTAAGGGCCCATCTGTTGATGTATTGTTTAAGAAAAGCCCTGAGGGCTGGGAATTTAGTTCAGTGGTTCTGTCACCTGCCTTCCAAGTACAAGGACCCGAATTCGATGCCCAGTACCCCCTCAAAAAGAAGAAAAGGCCCTGAATAGGGTGAGAGGGACAGCAAGGACATAGGCAGGAACAGGACAGCAGTGAAGTGGTGTGGCTGAGTCTCAGCAGGAATGGGGCCGAAGGGAGGAGGATCTCCTGGGGCATTGTGTTCCCATTGTGCAGCCCTTGGGATGAGTCTGCTATGGGGAAAGCACATGTTGGCACCAGTTGGCTGGCAGATTGGGGCCCAGAGTAGACACAGAGCAAGGTCTGGTGCTGTGGTCAGGGAGAGTTCTCTAAACAGCTGGGTAACTGCCTGTGGTGTCCTGGCCACAGCTCAGCTTTCTGTACCCTGACTGACTGCCTGCGTCATTCTTGCAGAGGTTCCGGTTCTGTGGGGACCTGGACTGTCCTGACTGGGTCCTGGCGGAGATCAGCACACTGGCCAAGATAGTTGAGTGCATGGGTCTATGTGGGTTGGGGGATGACAAGGTCACTCAGCTCTTCCCATCCTCTTTGACCTTGTCACATGGCTGCCCTCTCTGACCCTGTCCTCAGCACTGAGGACCAGGCGGCTTGGTTCGGGTGACACAGGGGCTTCCTTTCCAGTCTTCTGTGAAGCTGAGGCTGCTGTGTAGCCAGGTGCTGAAGGAGCTTCTGGGACAGGGAATTGATGTGAGTATAGGGCCTGTCACCCTACTGTCCTGTGCGCTTCCAGACATCTCATCCCTCCCTGCAGCCCAGTCTGTTCCCACACAGGGCCTAGGCTGGGGGCATGTGGCTGGCGGCTCCTGTACCCACTCAGTGCCTCTTTTCTCTATAGTATGAAAAGATCCTGAAGCTCACAGCGGACGCCAAGTTTGGTGAGTAGCTTGCTATGTCACCCACCTTGGGTGACCTGGTCCCCCTCCTCCCTATAGCCTCCCCGCATCTCCTACCTTAGTAGAGGAGCAGGAGAGGACAAACCCCCAACAGTGCCGCTTGCTCCTCTGCCAGCTCCTAGGGAGCAGTTGTGGTGCCTCTGGCTCAGGGAGGTGTCTGTGGCTACAGTGACATCCCCTACCCTGGTCTCCAGAGTCTGGTGATGTGAAGGCCACAGTGGCAGTGCTGAGCTTTATCCTGTCCAGTGCAGCCAAGCACAGCGTAGACGGCGAGTCCCTGTCCAGTGAGCTACAGCAGCTGGGGCTACCCAAAGGTGGGCAGGGCATAGCAGGTGGGACCTGGGACAGGGGCTTCTGGCGGGAGATAAACTGTGTGGCCCTGGCTGGAATACACCACCCAAGTGTGCTCCTGCCCACAGAGCATGCAGCCAGCCTGTGCCGCTGCTACGAGGAGAAACAGGGTGCCCTGCAGGAGACCCTGCGTGCCTGTAGCCTACGAGGTGAGTGCAGGCTGGAGTGTGCATGTGTGCTTGTGTGTACAAAGTGCCTCCTGTGTAGTCCGGGTTTCTGCTCTCTGAGGCCTGTTCCTAAGCACCTGCCCTTTGCCCATCCTGGGAAGAGACCATACAGCCTTGAGGGTACAGGGCAGGGCGGGCCCACCTGCCTGAGTATCCCCTGCATCCTGTCTCCTTTGCAGTGAACATGCTGGCAAGTGTGGGCTGGCGGGTGGACTACACCCTGCGCTCCAGCCTGCTGCGCTCTGTGGAGGAGCCCCTGGTGCACCTGAGGCTAGAGGTGGCAGTGGCCCCTGGTGCCCCAACCCAGCCTGTGGCCATGACCCTGTCAGCAGACAAGTTACAGGTCCTCTTAGCAGGTGAGGCTCCACTGCACTGGGGTGGTGTGTGACTCCCTCCATCTCTCTGACCACTCCTTTGGTCACTTTTTCCCACAGAGCTGAAACAGGCTCAGGCCCTGATGAATGCCTTGGGCTGAGGAGGAGGAGGAATTCAGCTGCCCTTCTGTATCAAGCTGCTGTCCCTTGACTTCAGGGGTCACCTCATTTGTGGGTGTGGAGGGCCTGGCCAAAGTCTTCTGAATCCACTCCCTGGCTTTCCACTCTCGAGTTAGCATGGGCTCCTGAGGACCTTTCCTGCATTCCCTCCCTCCCCTCAAAAGGCAGGAAGAATAAAGAGCATAAAGGAGTGTGTGGGGTCACTTTCTGTTTTCTGTTTAAGGGTGTCTGTGAGAGAGACCAGGTGACATTCTGACCTTCCTGTCTGTCACTTCTTTTCTCATCTGCTGAGGGAGGGCAGAATCTATGGCCCATCCACAGTGGAAGGCCAGGTAACAACTGTAAATACCTATGCACTGAATACTGGTCACTTAGCTTCATAAAACAGGAACTACTGGACTTAAAAGTGGGAGACTGTAATACCCTACTCTCAAAATTGGGTCAATCAGAGAGAAATCAACAAAGGTCAGTTAAACCACACCACTGAACAGATGGACTTAACAGATGCAGACAAAGGGTTTCATCCAACAACGGTAGAATAAATATTTTTGTCAGCAACCCAAGGAACTTTTCCCAAAATAGACCATATCTGAGGCCATGAAGCAATCTTAAATACAAAAGAACAGAAACAATCTGCATAGCATTGATCATAGCAGAATGAGGCTAGAAATCAGCAGCAAAAGAAGCCATAGAAACTGCAAACATATGGAGATTAAGTAATACATTATCGAATAATCAGTGGATCGATCGGAGAAATCGGAAAAATTTTTAAAGTTCATAGAACCAAATGTGCCAATTCCTATGGGATGTGATGAAAGCACTTCTAAGAGGGAGGTTTAGAGCCCAAGTTAACCTAATGATGCAGCTCAAGGTCCTATTGAGAATAATCTGAATCAGGAACTAAGAAATTACAAAGAGCAGAGCAGAAATTAATGAAATTGAGATTAAAATAATACAAGGGATCAGTGAATCATCAAAGAGTTGGCTCTCTGGATGGAAAGGGGACCTGAGGATGGGGAGAGACAGGTCAGAGAGGGAAAGAAAAAGGATCAAGATGCAGAATGTGTATGTGGCACTTCCCCCACGGTGAGGGTACCACCTAGTGTGTATCACAAATGTACTGATAAATTGAGGGAAAAAAAAGTGCTGTTACATGAGAAAAAGCCACAGCAAGTCCTGTCCCATCACATGCATTCACACTGGCTGGTTCTGGGGCAGTGTCCCTTCCCTGTTAGCAAAATCCCAGCTACTCTGGGTGGTCATGGACCATTGCATGCTGATCAGTGTTCAGTCATTTGTCTCCTTAGGAGCCTAAGCTTATGAGAAACTGTTTCCGTGTTCTTATCTCACCTGAAAGCCTAATAAAAATTCTTTCAAGAGATGGGCAATGGGGAGATAAGTACTGGATGGATTTAAAGCTGTTGAATGCAATCAAAGCCCAAGCCAGGCATGGTGGTGCACACCTGTTATTATAGCTACTTGGGAGGCTGAAGCAAGAAGACTGCAAATTCAAGGCCAGCCTGGGTAACAGTGACACCCTGTGTGAGGATGGGTAAGGTGCTTGGACAAGTTGGGGATGTGAAGTATGCTCTCTACATTGTGGCGAGGTCACCTCCTTTTTTTTTTTTTTTTTTTTTTTTTTTTTTGTACCGGGGATTGAACTTGGGTCCTTGCTCTTCCAAGGCAGGCCACCGAACCACTGAGCTAAATCCCCGGCCCGAGGTCACCTCTTAATGCTGTGTGATACCGTGTGCAGGTGTTAGCTGCAGGTGCAGGGTGTGCTGCAGAGATCTGGAACTGCACAACCAAAGCTCAGGAACAGTCCTTGGCCCCCCTGCCTGCCCATCTTGGAAATCCTGTGTTCTGCTTACTGCTTTGTTTGTTTCTTTGAGACTAGGTCTTAATACATAGTTCAGGCTGGCCTTGAACTCATTATGTAGCCCAGGCTGGGCTCCAACTTGTGGCAATCCTTCTACCACAGCCTCCCAAGTGCAGAGACCGTAAGTGTGCACCACCATGCCCAGTTTATATCTCCTGACTGTGGCAACAGTTGTACTATGTATTTGTCAAAAGTCATACTCTAAAGCTGAGTGTGGTGGTGAATGCCTATAATCCCAGCACTTTGGAAGGCTGAAGTAGGAACATCACAAATTCAAGCCAAACCCGGAGAATTCAGTGACTTGGCAAGACCCTGTCTCAAAACAGAAAATGAAGAAGGCTGGAGACGTAGTTCAGTGGAGAGCCCTGAGTTCAATCCACAGTACCACTAAATAATAATAATTAAAAAAAAAACACATTCTAAAAAGAGTGAATCATACTGTATGTAAATTACATCTTAATTTAAACACTGCAAGAGAAGAAAAAGAACTCTACAGGTTACTTAGTGGTTACAAGATGTGAACCATAACTTTTGTTTTGTCTGCCTTAAGTCTCACCAAAGCAGGATCAGCAGCTATCAGGTCAGCATCTAGGAGATGTTGCTGAATACCCAGGACCAGCATTCAGTCCTCATCCCATGTACAGGACCCAGTTAACAGTGCCCTGAGGACTCATTCACACTAATCCAGAACGGTGAGGAAGCAGCTGTCTCAAGGGACAACTGGCTTGGATTCTTCAGAAAGGTCAGTGTCAAGGTTAAAAAAAAAAGTGAGTTGGGTGGGATGGGCGATTCCACTGAGATTAAGTGATTGAATGATTAGAGACATATCCTTATGTTGAGCAAACCAGCTCTAACAAATGTTTTGGACTGAGTGTGATGGCACATCTCCATAATCCCAGCTAAACAGAAGGCTGAGGCAGGAAGATCACAAGTTGGATCTGCCTCAAACTAAAAGGACAAAAAAAAAAAAAAAAAAAAAGTTTGCTGGGTGTGGTGGCTCATGACTATAATCCTAGCACTCAGGAGGCATAGGCTGGAGGACTGCTGAGAGTTCAGGGCCAGCCTGAACTATAAAGTGAGACCCTGTCTTAAAAAAAAAACACCAAACCAAAACAAAAACAACAAAGAGGATGGGGATGTGGCTCATTGGGCACTTTCCTAGCATTTCAAGACCTGGTTTCAAACCCTGAGAGGGGTGTTGTCTTGGGGGAAGCAGGGGAATTTAAATGTGCACTAGGCATTAGATAGCATTGAGAAATCATTGTGAACTTTATTAGGCTTGCTAAAGGTATTGTGGCTTTTTAGAGATGCTGACATGTTAGAGATAAAATGTCATTATTTGTCTAATTTAAAATATTTCTGTTAACATAAGTGAGGTGGGGGGGCCCAGTAGTAAGAAGTGAGGCAAATCATGTCTGGACAGCTGCCAGTGCCTGCTACATTTAGAAAATTAGAAAAATGCAACTCTTCTCACCACTCAGATCTGCCCTGGATGACACTGCAGCCACACAGGACTGGTTGCTGTCATCCAGTTGCCCCGGGGCCTTTTGCACCGGCCCTTCCGTGTATCTTTCTACAGTCTGTGCATGCCTCTCTGCTGGCTCTGTTCTTGAGTTCCTGTGACTTGACCTAAATATCACCAAAGACAACTCCAGCAACAATCAGAGGGCTCCAGACTCCTGTTCGGGGTGCACTCCTAGCCTGGCAGGCAGCTTGGATGTTTTGTTTGTGTTATGTCTGTGCGGTGACATTGGGTCCCCAGTGGCCGCGCCTACATGCACCTGTGCTCCCACTTGTGCTGGGGACGTCGCAGCTGTTTCCTGTTGGCTTATCACCCCGCCTGGAACCTGCCGCGACTTCCCCACTGCAGCCCAGCTGTGACCCGCAGTCCTCTGAAAGGAACAGCTCAGAGGTCTTTCTGTGTGCCTTGCGAAACTGCACTCCTCTCCCGGCAGCCCTTGCGCTCGGGCCCTGCTCATGAGTCCGAGGGCGTGGCCTGACGGGGGCGTGGCTGCGGGTGGGTGGGGTCTGCCTGGGCTAGACGCCGCAGCGCCCTTGCAGCAAAAAAGCGACCTGGGACGCCTCGGAATCTGAGCGTTGCCCCTGACGGCCTGGGCTCGCTCGGGGCGGGTGAGTGGCTTGGTGGAAAGGGCAGGGCCATAGTCCTTCCCTCCTCTGGGAGCCCAAGGAGCACGGCTGGCCCGGTGCACAGGGATCACGCGGCCTGCGGAAGTGAGACTTGATCACGCAGCGAGGACAGCAGGCGATTGGCAGGACGGGCCATGGCCCCAGCGAAGCCCAGCTCCCCGGGTTGTCAAGCGCTCCGGGTGGGGACAGCGTCTCCAGCCATGTACAGCTCGCTCTAACTCTTGCGTCCTTCTCTGTCGAATACAAGTGACAACACCCACCTAACTAGCGCCGCCAATCCCGGCTTGTCGCCCCTTCTCAGGATGCCTGAGGGCCCGGAGCTGCACCTGGCCAGCCACTTCGTGAACCAGGCCTGCCACGGGCTGGTGTTTGGCGGGGCGGGGGGGGTCCCCGGGCTCGGAGCTGCACCTGGCCAGCCACTTCGTGAACCAGGCCTGCCACGGGCTGGTGTTTGGCGGGGCGGTGGAGAAGTCCCCGGTCAGCCGCAACCCCGAGGTGCCCTTTGAGAGCAGCGCCTACCGCATCTCGGCCACAGCTCGGGGCAAGGAGCTGCGCCTCACGCTCAGCCCCCTGCCCGGGGCCCAGCCCTCTCGGGAGCCGCTAGCCCTGGTTTTCCGCTTCGGCATGACCGGTTCATTCCAGCTGGCTCCCGCTGAGGCGCTGCCACCCCACGCCCACCTGCGCTTCTATACGGCCTCCCCCGCTCCCCGGCTGGCCCTGTGCTTCGTGGACATCCGCCGCTTTGGCCGCTGGGACCCAGGAGGCAAGTGGCAGCAGGACCGTGGGCCTTGTGTTCTCCTGGAGTATGAACAATTCAGGTAGGACTAGCTTACGGTTTGAGGACCTAAAACAGTTCCCACCCTGGGTCGGCTCCCAGAGCTCGGAGGTGAGGGGAGAGGGCGCTGCCTGGAAGACAGAATATGGGCAGCAACTTGTGCCCGGAACGCCATCATTTGTTGGTGCTCCCGGGAGGTTAGAAGAAGCAGAGGGTAAAAATCAAGGCTACAGCCAGGAGAGGCCCACACCTATAATCCCAGTACCTGAGAGGTACAGGCAGGAGGATCGTTGAGCTCCAGGCTAGCCTGGGCCACTTGAGACCGTCTCAACATAAAATTTAGGCTGTGAATGTAGCTCAGTGGTTATGTGTGTGGCCCTGAGTCAATCCACACATAAACAAACAAACACACACACACACACACACACAGAGTAAAGCAGCACAGGGATTTAGAGGGTTGGGGAGGGCACTGACAGCTCCTGAGTCAGGTTGGGTGGTCTCCCAGATGCTGCCTGCCCACGAGTCTGTGTCTTGGGGTCTCCTCTGTGAGTGTCCCGCTTTAGTAGTAGTGAATCACCTGGGATCTGACGTGGGTCATCTAAGATGACATGGCACCAGCAATTTCCTCCTCTCAGGCATGAGAGCTGCTGGTTTGTGCCAGCTTTGACCTGCAGCTTTGCACTGGGCTGGGTCTCTGCTCCTGAAGCACTACTGTCAGCTGGGGGTAGACAGACACAAGATGAACTCAGACACATGAGGTGGAGAAAATCTAACAGGTGAAGGTACAGAGGGTGACTTTGGTGGAGAGTGTGGAGGCAGTGGGTATGGCTGCTTAGGGAGAGACCAGCCTCAAAATCTGGGGAGGAGAGGATTCTAACTGGCAGGAGTCACGGAGGCTGGGGTGGCATTAGCAAGTTCTCCTTCGTGGGGGACAAGGTACCTGCGGCCAGCCCCCAAGAGGCTTGGTTGCCATCCTGGCACCACAGAAGTGACCCCAGGCCTGCCCAGGTGGGAACCTGGGTGCACACCCTGGAACATGTCTATCCCTGGTCCTGCCTTCTGCCTACCTTACCTTTTTTGGACAGCTAGGAAGGCCTCACCTACCTTCTACAGAGCTCCAAACTGGCCCTGTGCAGAGGACCAGGGTCATACTGTAGAACCAACCTGCTGGAAGCTTCTTAATGTGCAGCAAGACTGTTTTTGGGGTCCTTCTGCTGGGAAGCCCATGGGCCCTGAGCAGCACCCAGGGAACCTTCCATTCTCCAGACCCAGTCCTCTGGCTCCATCACTATCCTTATGCCTCTCGCCCAGCCTATCTGCCCTGAAGACTAATGCTTCTTCAGGGGTGAGGAGTCCGACTCTTGGAAGAGGTCAGCCAGATAACCCTCAGGGCAGGGTCCAACCCACATGGACAGCCTAAGCCACTGGGGTCCTTACAGGGAGTTCTGGATCACATGTCAGGCCCTGTGCTCACTCACCTTGTGCTCAGAAGCATCCTGAGCACACAGGCACATCAGTTTCTCCCAGCTCCTCACACCTCTACCCCAAGGGTAGGGTAAAGGCCTTACACACCCAGGCTATGTTCCCCAGGGAAAATGTACTCCAAAACCTGGCAGACAAGGCTTTCAATCGGCCCATCTGTGAGGCCCTCCTGGACCAGCGGTTCTTCAATGGCATTGGCAACTACCTACGAGCAGAGATCCTGTTCCGGTCAGCAGGCGGGCCATTGGCATGGGCTGAGGGGCAGGTGTGCCCACTGTTGAGGCTCAGCATGGTCCCCTTACATCCCCTGCCACTCCAGGCTGAGGATCCCTCCCTTTGAGAAGGCACGCACAGTCCTGGAGGCCCTGCAACGGCACCAGCCGGTAATGGCCCTAAAGGGACAAGGGGATGTGGTCTAAGTGTGGGTGTCCCAGGCCTAGCTCCTTGTGTGGGAAGCAGGGAGGATTGGGAAAGAGATGAGCTGCCTTAGGGCCCTGCCTGAGCTGACAGCCAGGCACTGCCTGCCCCTCTCCAGAGCCCAGAGCTCACTCTGAGCCAGAAGATCAGGGCTAAGCTGCAAAACCCAGACCTGCTGGAACTGTGCCACTCAGTGCCCAAGGAAGTGGTCCAGCTAGGTGAGGCCCAATGAGTCAATACAGCCTGTGACCTCTACTGTGCAACCTGGGCAGCTGTCCCCCTGGGCCTGGCTCCCCTGCTGGGGGTGGGAGTTCACAGACCTCTTGGCCAGTGCTTGTCTCCTCTAGGCTGCAACACAGCAGCCAGGGAGACTGCAGGCTGGGGAAACCATGTGTCAGAGCGGGGAAGGCACAGCCATGGTTGTACAGTGAGTGGCAAGAAGAGAGCTTGGCCCCCGACTCAGTCACGGCTGTGTAGCTGAAGTCTGGGCTGGGTTGGACCAAGTCCCACTCTTCCTGCCTGGAGTCTGCCCACTAACCTCTGCCAGGTCCCTTTGTCTCACAGGGGGCAAAGGCTATGGGTCAGAGCACGGAGAGGAAGACTTTGCTGCCTTCAGAGCCTGGCTGCAGTGCTACAGCATGCCAGGCATGAGCTCCCTGCGAGACCGGAACGGCCGCACCATCTGGTTCCAGGGTGATCCTGGTCCCCTAGCCCCCAAAGGGGCCAAGTCCCGAAAAAAGGAATCCCAGAAAACTCAGCCAGCACCTGTGGATGGAATGGAGAACCCTCCACCTCCAATCAAGGGCCCTTCTAAGACACCAGGGGCCCAGAGACACCTTCCTGAGATGACTGCAGCCCAGCAACCTGAGAGGCCAGGCCTTCAGCATGACCCAGGAGCTCCCACGGTCCTTGAGAAAGGGAGGAGACGCCAGGCTATCGCAGGTGGAGAAAGTGGCCCTTTGGGAGCAGATGGGATGCCCTGTAGGAATGTGTGCACAGAGGTGGGGAAGGCTGTGGGCAGATTCAGCATGGGATCTCAGTATACTATCTCTTCTTCAGGACAACAAAGACCCAGGAAGAGGAAGGTGGACACCCCATCTGAGGAGTCTGGGGGCATGGCAGCCTCTTAGCTGGTCTCCTTTCTTGCACTCACCCTTTTGGCTACCTTGCTGGGAATCTGAGCCTGTCTGAGCTCCTAGAAACAACATTGGAAGGGCTGCATGGCTGCGACCTGTGGCTGTTGCCTGCTCAACTGTCACATTAACTGAACCACATATTTCACATTTTTTAAGCCTGCATGAAAATGCAGTATTTTTAAAGGAATGAATAAATATGAACTTTTTGGTACTCTCTCTCTCTCTATCTAATCTAATCTAATCTAGAGGTCTATGTAGTTCAGGCTGGCCTCAAACCTGTCGCAGTCCTTATGCCTGAGCTACCCAAGTGCTGGGGTTACGGGTGTGTGCCACAATGCTGGGCTTGATGGCTAGGTTGGAATGAAGCCTGCTGCCCAGCCAGCCCCGGGCACAGGGGCACTTCCTTGGCAAGGCAGATGGAATCCCTGTCCTCAAGGCCCTGGCTATCAGAGGACAGCCTCCCCTGGGAGGCAGGCATGACAAACTAAATGTACAGCATTTAGCACAGGCTCCAAGCTCCTCCAGTCTAGGCTCTCAGGGCCAGTGGTTGCCCCACAACCTGGCCCTGACTGGTCACAGCTCCTCTCCCATGAGGGCAGGCAGAATGTACCTGTCTGGCCTCCTCCTCAGGGCCTCTGCCTCTTATCTCACAGTCCCCAGCTCTCAGATATTACCCACACTCTGCACACATAAGTAACCTTAGATCTTGCCATATCTCCAAATCCCTGGAAAGAGATCCTTCCTTAACTTTCACATAGGTGAAGATGGGCCCAAGAAAAGCCAGCAGGAGCTACCAGCAGGGCTGCTGCTGACCCAAGAATTTATTGTGCCCAAGATGACAGGTCCTTGTTTCAGGTTGGGGAGGTATAGCTGAGTCCCAAAGCCTTGCACAAACAAAACACCCCCAGGTATTCAGTTTGATGGAGGCTGGAGCACAAGCAATAGGGACCTCACTTGGAAGGGGGAAAAGGTGACCTTCAGGTGTGAGTCTCGAAAAGGCAAGTGGCCAGCAGGATCTCTACGTTCCAGGAGGTCACACCTGTGGAACAGGAGGGGTCATCAGGGCCTGGAGAAGGTGGGACTCCCACCTCCGACCCCACCCTGCACCTCTACTCACAGGACGGCCTCCTGAACTGGCAGCGATGTGTGCACCCAGCAGTCCACATGGCTGCCGTGGGCCTCGTACAGCCGTAGGACCAGCGTGGTGCAGTTCTGGGTTGCAGTCTCAGCCTGGGGAGAGGTAAGCAGGTGGTAGGCAGGTCAGAGCATGGCTAGCCCAAGACCCTGACTCCACAAAGTCCCCTGCTTGCCTGTTTGACAGTCTCCAATACAACAGCTGGTGAGGACAGTGAAAAGGCACTCCATGCAGTGGCTGGGGCTGGGCCTGGGGCTGGCAGTGCTAACAAAGGGAAGTTGAGGCTGTAGGCAGCGGGGATAACACCAGCATCCTGGAAGGAGCCTGGGCATGGCCAGAAAGGCATACATGGTAAAAATGGAGCCCTTGATGGGTGTCAGGCTGCTGAGGGGCATCTCAAGGTTAGCTTATCTGGAGGCTCAGAGAAGGGCAAGGGGGTATCTAGGACACAGGAAAGTCCTAGTGTACCCAGTACTCACCCTCGTGTGGCATCAGTGCATAGGTGAACTCGTGGTACCCCATGTCAGCGGTGGCATCAGGAGCCTTAGGTGCTCGCAGGCTGGGGTGTGAGGGAGGGCAGGGCTGGAATCTGGCCCGGAAAGACCAGCTCCCCACTCCAGCCCAGCTCAGGAGGCCCCACTCACAGTGACAGGCTGAGAACGTTGCCTCGTGCTGAGGCCCCATACTTGCAGTCGTTGAGCAGGGCCAGCCCAAAGCTGTGCTCTGACAGGTCCATCCAGCGGTGGGTCCACACCTGGGCAGGACCATGCCCACTTGGTGACCCCACTCATTTCCTTGGGCCCCCAGTGCCTGTCACTAGGGTGTCACTAAGACTGAACTCTAGCTCCCCCTTTAGCAAACCTTGGCCATACCACCCAACCTGTCTGCCTCAGTCTCCTCATGAACATCAAATGTACAGCATTTAGCCTAAGGCCTGACACAGGCAATGGTGACCCTCCTCCTCCTCCTCTACTACACCATACAGCCCATGTCTCAGCCAGGGAGGGTCTGAGCCCCTTTCTCCCCCATCCCCTTGGCAGACCTCAAATCGAGCCCAATCCCAGGAAGTGTTGTAGTGGGTGGGCCGCTGCAGGTGCCCAAACTGGATCTCGTAGGTGGCCTGGGGGCTCCTCACTCGGGCAGGGAACTCCACCTTCAGAAACTTGTGGGCCTCATGCCAGTGCACCTGGGAGCACAAGGGAAGGGAAGGGAGCACCACCCCCAGGTGGGGCCAGCCTCTCCTCACCAGCCACACCTGGCAAAGGTGGCCACCACCCTGCCCCAGCTACCTCAGTGTGGAAACGGACATAGGGGCAGCCAATGTCCAGCACAACTTCCTGGCTGAGCCGACTATTGGGGCTGATCTGCAGTAGGAACCAGGCGCTGCCCCGAAGGCCACCCTCGGTGCCCACAGCCAGGGTCCCTGCCTGGCCCAGCACAGGCTTCCTGTGAGACAGATGGGGCACTGAGCCAGGGTAGCTTATATCCCTACCTCCTGACACCCAAGTCCTGCTTAGCAAATACCGTGTCTCCAGGTGGTAGTCCATGATGTCCCAAGCATCCCAGTACAAGGGGATGTCATCAAACAGCACAAACTGGTTCCCCAGAGCACCCTCAGCAATGGCTTCCCTGGAGGGACATGGGAATTGGCACTTCATATCTGTATGACCTTGTATTCCAGCCATACTTGGTAGAGTGGGGCAGGGTAAGTGGGGACAAGGAACTCCTGGCTCAGCCTGCCCCACCCCATGGTGGGCCCCAGGTGAGGCCCTGTGGGCTGCTGTGGCAAAGGGACAGTGGGAACAGGTACAGAGAAAAGATAGCAAGGGGTTGGCACCTGCCAGAGGCCACAAGGACTAGAGACGTCAGGTGGCCAGTTGGATCCATCTTCACTCGGATGATGCCATTGTCCAGAGTCACAGAGCCATCAGTCTTGGGTGGGAGGAACTTAGAGGCTGAGCCTGCAGGGGCTTCCCACAACCAGAGAGGCATCCCGCCCCCAGCTCCAGCCTGTTGGCTCCAGGCTCAGGAGCACCCAGGACAGCCCTCCACTTTCCTGGGAGCTGCAGTACTCACCTCCTGCACCACGAATACTGGCTGCTGGGGCGGCGGGGGCTGCAGCAAGGTGGGACTGGCAGCAGGCGCATAGCCCATGCTGGGCACGGTCACCAGGGCTGGATGTGAGGCCTGGCCATTAGCATTACCCACTGACCATCCAGACACCTCCCTAAGGTTGGGTGGTGAAGGATGTGGCTCCTATCCTCTGGCACAAGGCACCCAGAGACCCCTAGAGTCCTCCAGGGGAGTTTTTCCTGATCTGATGCCCTGGGTTCCTCCCCTCCGCTCTTACCAAGGCTCTGGGAACCCCCAGGCTTGGGCAGTGCCAGTACTTCTGTGCGCTTCCAGGGTAGTGTGTTGACCACCAGGAGACCTTCAGGCCCGGGCTCCCCGGCACATAGGGCACGAGCTGCAGTGTTGAGCAGTGTGTTGCCATGGGAACGGATTTCTGTGGAGAGAAGGAATAGTCACAGGGCAATGGGTCTGGGGTGACTTGTGTTTCATGGGGTACATTCTGGGCCCAGCCCTGTGTTGCAGAGGGCAGTGGGACTCGTTGGTCTCACCTTCATAGTGTTTTATGGCATCCTCTGCCACCAGCTGGATGCAGCTTCCAGTCACCACATCATGGAACTGGTTCAGGAGCAGGAGCCTATGGCGAGGAGGCCAGAGTGGGGACAGGGTATTGGCAGTGGCAGTGGTGAAGGGGTCTGGGGTTAACAGGGGCAGATGCCAGGCTGACCTCCAGAGGTGCTGCAGCTGGGCTGCTGGGTATAGGAAGTGGGCACTTCGGGTCAGAGCCAGGCTGCTGAGCAGCTCAACGTCATGCAGGATCCGCTCACATTCTCGGTTTCCCTTCTTGATCTATGCCCCAGGGAGGGGTGGGTGATTCTGGGGTCAACATGAATATCCCAGGATATCCCAGAGCCGCCTGAGCTCAGAACCCCTCTGTCCACTCTACCCAGCACTCCTCTTCCAGCACCCTGGAGCCCTAGCCCTTGCACATCTCTCCTTGGGACAGAAGCAGATAAACTGCCCTTGCCCCACTCCTGGCCCACTACAGACCTGAGCATGGGTAGTGTAGGTGCCATTATGTAGCTCCAGGAAGAGCTCCCCGACCCATGTGCACAGCTGGCCTTGGTCACTCTCAAGTGCCTTGAAGAGCTGGCCCGGAGAAGACAGCTGCACCCTGAGGGAGACCACAGCCTGGGCCTTACCATTTTCCACTCCAACAGCAGAGGCAAGAGGTACAGCCCCAACAGGGAGCCCTCCAGAGAGCTCCATGCTCACACAGAAACTCAACGGCTCTGGAAACTCAGGAACTGTCCTCTGGTGGGCTCAGGTTCCTGCCCACCATAGGGGTCCCTCCCTCTCCCACAGGTGAGAGGCTGAGGAGCCAGTGGGCTGGGCTCAAAGGATGAGGTTGGGTGGAAGGAGCTGAGTCCAGGGCAGGAACAGGGGGAAGGCTTGAGGCCAGGGCTGAGGTGGCTACACGAGAGCCAGGGCTGACCTGGGTAGCCCGTCGGTGTTGCCCAGGCGCCTCAAGCGGTCCAGCATGGTTTGAGTGGGGCCACCGCCCCCGTCACCAAAGCCATAGAGGAAGGCACTATGGTTGGCCCGCCCCTTGTCCCGGTTGTTGGTCACAGTCTTCAGCATCTAGATGGAGGGCAGTGAGTGTGGGCCCAAGAAGCCCAGGACACCTGACCCTCTCCATCTGGCCCTTACCTGTGCTAGGTGCTCCTTACCTCCTCCACATTGCCCTGCATTCCATAGGAGTCACCAGGTGGGAAGTGGACCAGCACACGAGAGCCATCCAGCCCCTCCCAGAAAAAGGTGTGGTGCTAGAGCAGGGGACAGAGGCAGGGGAGAGACTAGGGTAAGGATGAAGCAGGGTGGCCTTCTTCACCAGGTCATTAAACTGCCCTGCCTGCTGCACGATGCTGATGGAGCCCTATCCTATCCCACTCTCCCTGGGGATCTGGTAGTCTGCCAGGGCCCCTCAATGAGCCTGGGCAGAGGTAAACAGGCCTGCTAAGACCATGATCCTGGGATGTGCTTACAGGGAAGGAGTTCACCAAATTCCAGCTCAACTTCTGGGTTAGGAAACGCGTGATGCCACAGCCGCGCATGATCTGGGGAAGTTGCGCTGAGTAGCCAAATGTGTCTGGCAGCCAGAACTGCAGAGAGGGCCACAAGGACACAGCCTCAGTCTCCAGCACCCTGGGAGAGCCCAGCCACACCATGCCCAGTAGGGGGCAGCCATGCCTACCTCAGAGCACAGCTTCCCAAACTCCTGCAGGAAGAAGCTCTGGCCCTGCAGGAACTGCCTCACCATGGCCTCTCCACTGGGCAGGTTCCCATCCTGTTGAGGGGACAGGGAGGCAGTAAGTCAGCCTGAGAGGGCAGAAGGCAGATGGGAGCAGGGGCCAGCCTCACACCCTTGATGCAGGAGAGGCAGGGCCCCAGGAAGTGGCCACCTCACTTCCTGCCAAGTGTTGTATATTTGTCCGTGGTGGTGCTGGGAACAGGCCAGGCAGATGGCCTGTCATCTGGGAGATTCACTTCCCTGGGAACCCCAGGGGATCAATAAACCCTGCCACAGGGACTGGGACTGAGGGGAGGCCAGTGCACTCACCATCTCCACCCAGGTGCCTCCTACAGGCACAAACTGCCCTCGGCAGGCAAACTCTTGCAGCTGGGCATACAGGCTGGGGTAGCAGCTCTTTACCCATTCGAGCTGCTGTGCCTGTGGAGTGGAGGTGGAGAAATCTGAGCCAGAGATAAAACGGACCTCACACAGGGCTGAGTATCTGTGGGGAGAACTGTGGGGCTCAAAGACCCTCAGGACCCACTATACCCCATGGAGCCACCCCCTGACCTGGGAGCAGACAAAGATGAAATCAGCATTCTGCTCCATGAGTTTCAGGGCTGTTACCCAGCTTCGGGCACATTTCCGCACGGTCTCCTTGAAGGGCCACAGCCAGGCTGCAGAGAGGGAGGGTCAGGGTGCACAGTGGCAAGGTCCCCAAAGGTCTTCTTCCCCTTCCCTGTCCCAGCACCCTGCCATCCTATCTCTCCTCCCAGCCAGGAGCCAGGTCATTCACCCGGCTAAGCCTGTGATCTGAGCTGTCATTTCAAATCCCCTGTATTGTGGGAGAGGGTGGGAAAGGAGGCCTCAATTTCTTTACCTGCAATTCTGGGTCAGGGTGCACAGTGGCAAGGTCCCCAAAGGTCTTCTTCCCCTTCCCTGTCCCAGCACCCTGCCATCCTATCTCCCCTCCCAGCCAGGAGCCAGGTCATTCACCCGGCTAAGCCTGTGATCTGAGCTGTCATTTCAAATCCCCTGTATTGTGGGAGAGGGTGGGAAAGGAGGCCTCAATTTCTTTACCTGGAATTCTGCACACACACACACACACACACACACACACACACACACACACCCCACTGTGGCACAGCAGAGAACCTTGTTCAATTCAGAAACCTTTGCTGCTATCAGAATGAACACAGCAGGAAGCTTGTTGAAAATGTGGATTTCTCACAGCCTTGACACTGGAGGGCCAGGGATTTAGCTCAGTGGTGTCACTGTGCTGCCAAGTTCGATCACCAGTACAAAAAAAAAAAAAAAAAAAAAAAAAAAAAAGACACTGGAACTTGTGCAGGACCAGAGCTGACCTATGATACTGGCATTTGGGCCATCTCAGTTAACTCAACACCCGCTCTGAGGAAGGGCACTCTTGTCGATTGCTTCCCTTCTCTGCGTTAAATGCCTCTTCTGGGTTCCCCACAGGTTCTCCTCATGCATCATCATAGCTGTGGTAACTGTAATCATCACCTATGTGATGCTACCCCATCCTCTGGCACAGGGCCTGTGAGGCAGCAGCTTTTGTTGACAGAATAAACATGCCACAATGGTAAGAGTCCATAGTCGAGTACCCCTGCCCCTTTCTACAGGTGGAGAAACTGAGGCTCAAGAGAGGCATGAGACTGCTGAGAGCCACAGTGCTTCTTGGGCACAGCCAGGCTTTCAAGGGCACTGGCTCCTGCCTCCCCAGCCAATCCAACTAGTGGCACCTACCTGTATCAATGTGGCAGTGCCCCATGGCATGGAGAGTGTGCTGGCTGTCACCTCCACACTGGCTGAAGAACTGTGAGGCCAGGGCCTGGGCCACTGGAAAGGTCTCAGGCCGGGTAGGGTCACAGACATTCACCATCTGGTTGGCCGTGTACAGGGCTTGAAAGCTGCGCTGGTTGTCCTTCCCAAGGCCCTGTGTGAGGTTCTGCCCCTGAGTTCCCTCTCAAGCACAGCTCCAGTGCTGCTGACTTTCCAGGGTTCCCAGCAGGAGCTCCAGCCCTTTGTTCCCATTGGTATCTCCTCAGCACCATTTCCCTTTACTTAAGGAAATTCTCTTTCTGCCCTAGATCACAGTGTCCCAGTGACCTAGCTCAGGAAACAACGCGTCCAGATCCAGGGCATGCAGTGTCAGTACCTTGGCCACATCCAGCAGCAGCTCCAGGTCCACCAGAAGCTGGTGGACATCCCGGTGGAACACGGCCAGCTCAGCCCGGCTCAGCTGGAACATCTTCTCAGGGTCAGGGGGAGCGATCATGGTTCCCTTCCCGGCTCCCAGGAGCCCATTACAGGCCACTTCCACATAGAGGGTCAGGCTACAAACAGGGGGAGGCAGCCTCAGGCCAAGTGATGAGCAGGGACCTCCAAGAGCTTGGGGAGGGGCACAGAGAAGGCATTCAGTTGCCCCTCCCAACCCCTCTACGACCCACCACCTGCAGGATCCACAGTGGCCAGGTATGTGGCAGAGTCCCCAGACCCAAGCCCTGTCCTGCTGAGTATTCTGCCTTGGTCAGGGACAGTAAGTGGTCTGGTTTGGGAGCCTGTGAATCATACCACTGCTTAGCCTTTGATTTCCAAAGCTGTCTAAACAAAGTACTGCCTTGGCCTCAGAACCTACTCTGAATATTAAAAGCATGCATTTTCAGCCAAAACTCCAGCAGCTAATAAGCGTGGCCATTTCCAGGAGCTGTTTAACCCAAGCCTTGCAGGGTAACCTTGGTGGAGGAAAGCCTTCAACTTTCCTCCCACCACGGGCACATTCCATACTCAACTCTCAGCATTTTCTTTCAGAGCCCTCATTTATTTTGCAATTAGAGGAGTTCTCCTTCTTCAGGAGTACTGGGGATTGAACGTCAGATCTTCACATTGAGCTACATAGCCTTTTTAATACACATGTGTGAATGTGTGCGTGATGGAGTCTTTCTGAATTTCCCAGGCTGGGCTCAAATTTGCCACAGCCTCCCAGAGTGCTAGGTTTAGATGCGTGTGCCACCACCCTTGGCTTCCATGAGTATTTCGGTGTCTCTCTGCTATCAAGGACTATATTATTCCCTACCATATTCCCAGTTTCTATAAGTGTCTGAAAGTGTTCAATAAGTAGAAAGCACAATAATAATGTTTATGAAGTTCTCCAGGTGGTATCATAAGATGCCCATGTTATCTTATGGGGTGTAAAAAGTCAGGGTGAAAATATTAAAGCAAAGCTTGAGGTGGAGCTCAATTACAGGGAGCTCAATCAGCATGAGCAAGCCTCTAGGTTCAATCCCCAGCACCATGCGGGGTGAGTGTGTGTGTGTGTGTGTGTGTGTGTGTGTGTGTGTGTGAAAAGAGTATAACTCAGCTAATAAAATGTTTTTACTGGAACACTGAGAATATGAATACTGAGGTGATAACTGTCATCTCTAGATTGTGGATAATGGGAGATATTTACTTCTTTGGCCCTTCTGTACTTATCACAGGAAGGTAAACACTATTTTTAGTTAGAAAAAGTCCTACTTTCTCAACCAGACAATGGCTGTCCTGGAGGTGGCAGTGCTTCTGAGGTCCCTCAGGTCTCCTCTCCATCCACCCAAGCACCCACCAGGGCACAGGCACCCACTCACTTCCGGGGGTCTTCTCCTCCCAGCCTGTTGGTCAGGACATAACTGGTCTTCTCACCCTCTGTGGTTAGACCCTGATAGGGAGAGGAGAAAGAGACAGGGCCCAAGTCTATGGACAGTTCAAAAGATGTGTAAGCAGAAGGGGACCAGGTGGAGGGGCCTGGTCCCCAGCGTCGGGCCCTCTCCCAGGAAGTAACCTGCATCCCACGGCAGTGAGCACCCAATGGCACCTGTTTGCTAGTGGAAAAGCTCATGGTCTTATGGAGAACTGGGTGTGATTTATGGTGGCCACTGCACACTGAAGAGATAGATACTTAAAGAGAAACCCCATGAAGCCAGGGACAGATGTGCCATATCCACTATAACCCCAGGGCTTCTTGGAGTGGGTACCGGGTGGCTCAGCCATCAGCTGAGCCAGTGAAGAGACAAAAGAGAGGAAGGAAGAGAAAAAGAGAAAGAGGGAAAAAGGAAGGAGGGAGGGAAAGAAGGAAGGGTGTGCCTTCCTCTAGGACAGGAAACTACAGTCCTAACCACAGATTGAGAATTCAGTTTAGAATGGAAGCTGTGTAAATCAGTAAACAAACCTCTGTTTCTTAATATGCAAATAAACATAAAAACCAGCCACATAGGATTATAAAGCTTAAGCCTGTTAAGATGACCTAAATATTTTACTTCATAGCATCTAGAACTCTGAAAATTTCCCCTATAAACAGGTATTATATAGAATTTAAAAAGTTTACGAACTGGGAATTTAGCTCAGTGGTTCTGGAGCCTGACTTGCAAGTGCAAGGACCTGAGTGTGTTTGATCCCCAGTATCAAAATAAATAAATAAATAAAGTATAAGAATAAAAAAAGTTTATCAAGAACAGAGACTCACTACATAGGCACCCAAGGGCAACTTCCACAGTTCATAAGTCCTGAGGACCACCCAGCAGGCAGACACTAGGTTGGGGCTCACATGTGGTCTACCAGGCCCTGGGGCAGGACCACTCACTCACCTGGACAGGCTGCCCATCGCGCCAGACTAGGCCTTCTCCATCACTTTCCCAGCAGAGGTGAACTTCTTGGCCTACCCATGCCTCCGGGATGATCAGCTCCACCCGGAACCAGCAGGTCCACCACCTAAAGAGCCAGGGTGATGGGCCCAGAGGTGGAAGCCCCTCCTGGCTGACTTTCTTGGATGAAATATCAACCGGGGTTGGAGACCTGCCCCAAGCCTCTGCAGCAAAGTACTCAGTCACAAGAAAAGAGCAAAATGTGGGTGCAAGGCGAGAGGAGAAAGGCAATTAGGGGGACGCCTAGGGTGTTTCATGCAGGGACCAGGCGGAAACTCCCAGGAAACGGAGCCGTCCGGCAGGGGACGCTGTGCCATCACAGCGGCAGAGAGGGACGACAGGGGGGTGGCCTCGAAGGGCGTTACCCACGTGGGTCCGAAGCGGTCGCCGACCTGCGCAGGGCGAAAGTCCTGGTGCACTGCATCCTGGTAGCGGAGCCGCTCGGGCGTCAGAAAGCTGGCGAGCCCGGCCACCGGACGCCGATCTCCAAACAGCCTGACGGGAGGGCGGGCGCATTTCCCCGAGCCCTGCCACCCCGCTACCTGCGTCTCCTAGCCTGGCCCCGTCCCCGACCGCACCTGCCCCGGAGGTTGCAGTCGGTGAAGTAAAGTGGCGACACGAACTTTTCCACTCGCTCCAGCGCCGTGCGCCAGTGCTTCAGGGCCGGTGCCACCACCGCCATCGCTGCGCGTTCGCTGCTCTGCCGGAAGGCTACGTGCTGCGGAGGCTGGGAACCAAAGGTTCCGGCGTCCGGCGGTGGGGCGGGGCAGCCCGGACTTCTTTCGTTGCAACACCAGCGGCTCTTGAAAGCCCGCGGGCGGGCTAGTTTGAGCCAATAGTTGGAAACTACTGTTGCGCTCTCGAGGCTCTCCTGCTTCACCGGAGCAAGCAGGCAGCAGGTAAATCCATCACTGAGACGGTAAGTGTGACGAGGGCCTCGGGATGGACTCGGATCCTGAAGCAGGCTTAAGAGCGGACCCGTCCCCAGACCTGACCGGAGCCCTCATTTAGCTCCCTCACGAAGAGACGCGAGTGCAGAGCTAGGCGGCCCGGTTGGGTATTTCTATGCTAATGGGCAGGAAGAGTAAAAGGAGAGGCTTTGCATCCCATGGCTCTCTCTTCCTGTCACACGCTCTAATTCAGGGGCACTAGCTGCTAACGCTCTGCACACCATAAACCCAGTAGAGCCGGGAGTGGTGGTGCATGTCTGTAATCCCAGTACTCCAGTTGAGGCAGGAGGACCTCTGTGAGTTCGAGACCAGCCTGGGCTACATAGTGAGTTCCAGGTCAGTCTCTACATAGACTGTCTCAAAAAACAAACAAACAAAAAAAACCAAACATAAACCCAGTGGACTAAAGCTGGTCACCACGCAGGCCAAGAACAGGCCTGCAATTCCATTTGCATCCCTACCGCCTCATTGGTTTTTTTGAGACAGGGTCTCACTATGTAGTTAAGACTGACCTGGAACTATGTAGCCCAGGCTGGTCTCCAAACTCATAGCGATCCTCCTGCCTCAGCCTCCCAAGTGCTGGGATTACAGGCGTGCGCTACCACGCCCGGCTTGGGTTTTTTTTTTTTTTTTTAAATCTTACTAGGGTAACCAGTTTTGTTTATAAAACCACCAGGAAAAAAGGTGACTAGGGTCAGAATATCGACTGTGTCTTAAAAAGAGCTTTCTGCCCTAAATAGAAACAGTGCAAGCTGGACTTAAAAGCACGGAGTTCTGAGGCCAGACAGTAGAAAGGTAAAGTTTCAAAAACCCTGGCTGAGGTCCCCACTGTTGACTGTATTTGGTGGTTTGGGGTTTCCTCCTAAGCTGGTCTTGAAATCCTATCCAGGCACTCTAGACAACACTGCTCCAATCCAATCCACACCCTCTCCCCAGTTCCAAGTCAGCCGATTCTCCTGCAGGGAGGACAGAGGGATGGGCTATTACATAGACAGCCTCAAGGTCTTTCTCCATGAAGTATGTATCATGACTCTCCACCTGGAATCCCCTCTGCCAGCAAGGCTTTGTGCTACTCTGCACTTTAGGTTCAGTCTTGTCTCTCTGCAACTAAAAGCCTAAAAACAATTTAAAAATTAGTTTTTTAAAAATATAGTTTTGGTAACTTTAAATTAAAAAGCAATGAAAAACATCATTCACTACAACTGTAGAGTGACAGCTAGAGAAAAATCCACAGCCTCACTTAAGGGCCAGGCCAACCATATGAAATGCTAGCTAGTTTAGAGCCAGGTGATACTGTGGGCCTGCAGTCAGGAAGTGAGAGCAGGAAGATCACCTGAATTCCAGGCCAACCTAGGCTACAGTGAGACCCTGGCTCAAAAAAAGAAAACAAAAAACCCACCTAGCTTAAATTTGTATCATTAAAAATGTGAGAATATGTCACATCTGTGGTTGCTTAAGGAAATGTATCAAATCCTCTCCCTCTCAACCACATTTTCACCTTACAATTTACACACAACTTTCAAATATTGGTTTGGTATTTTCAGTTCATCTCCATTCCTAATAAAGAAAAACAGATAGAAATAACTACCTCACTCAACAACTTACTCAAATATAAAGTATTTCCACATAACTGAAGTGGGAAATTGCAATAAAAGGATAATTTAAAAAAAACCAAGTAGTCTGTTTTAAAATTAGGGGATATTTTCATTTGGGTAAAGTACAAGTAACTATTTACACCTTTTTTTTTTGGTATGGGGAATCGAACTCGGGTCCTTGCACTTGCAAGGCAGGCAGCCGAACCACTGAGCTAAATCCCCGGCCCATATACAAGTAACTATTAATGCTTAAAGCAAAATCCTGTTTGTACCTTGCAGAAGGAACTGAAGCCAGAACTCCTGCCTTACAACAGCTCTCTGAGAACACTTGGGTTGACAGTTTATTCCTTAGATAAGAACCAAGCTTTATTTATTTACAAGAAAAAAAGAAAAAGAAGGAAAAAAAAAAGTTGGGGTTAAAGGGGAAGACAAGTTTTACACAAAAGTACTACAACGGTAACTCCCTTTGGTAAAAAGTGTAATAAATGTCTTGTACATCTCTTCATAGGTACTAAATCTGAAGCCACATAGTACTATGATACACAAGAAGCTAGAGCAGTTACGCTAGCACATCAAAGCATATTTCTTTTAATAAAAAATTGACAGTATGTACATTATTTACAAAAAAAAAAGAGCTAAAATTGTGTGTGTGTGCACGTGTGTCAGAGTAAAGCTGGTGGATAGCATTAGGGAGACTAGTAGCAGGTACAAAACAGTTCCACGGGAGCTAAAAAGGATGACTGATTTGAACTTCTTGAGGTTGAGAACCAGAGGAGAGAAGGGGTGGGCAGCAAGGGATTCATCAGGAATCAGATCCACAAAATGATCAATCCCAAAGCCAACTGCAGGTCCCACATAAAACTAATTGGTGATCTTAGATGTGCTCAAGTGACCAGGGGGAAAAATAAAAGTAATCCAGTCTCTTTTCCCTTGGTGGGAGGAAGGAGGAGCTGTGACTATCCCAGTTAATGCATCTAGATCAAGTCCTTCCTCAGTCTGTTTTGTAACTGAACCTCCATCCAGTCGAAGCATAAGTAGCACTGTTCCTCCATCGCAGGTCAGGCCACCGGAGACATGAGTCTTAGCTCTGCTGGTGTAGCAAGCAACTGCATGTCTCTGTGCTTGCACAGGCTTTCTCCCCCTGTAGGGTGGGCCAATAGCCGACATCCCTGGGGAAGGGCCAGCTCCATCTCTGCAAGGTGTTCACCTTCCTTAGATGTATCCTGCCTGGTGACAGGCTGCACCAGTGGCCATGTCCCAGGGAGGCCAAAAAGGCATCTTCCTTGCTTCTTCAGGGTGTGTGAGTGCACAGGCCTGCCCCCCCGCCACACGCACACACACACACCACCTCAAGTTACTGCTCTGGCTTTGCAGTTAAGGAGCCTTGAATACTGTGCCATATTTGACACGATACTTGTTAATGCTTACAAAGTGCAGGGTCTCTGTGTCACAGGTGGTGGTACAGGGCACCAGGCCCTCCAGCCCCTCACCCATGAGCCACTTGCTGGTCTCCGCTGCCATTTCACGGGGCACATGCTCCTTGGTCCATTTATCTACCCAGGCCTGGAATCTCTGATGTAAACGCTTGCTAACACGTTCATGGGACTACAAAACAAAAGGGGTAAAATTAAATACAATTTAAAAATCTCTTCAAATACAAATCCCAATTTTAGCCTAAAGTAGCAAAGGAAAGATGCAGGCTCAACTCGAAGATATTACTGGTTAAAAAACAAAACAGGGCTGGGATTTAGCTCAGTGGTTCCACTGCCTGCCTTGCAAGCACAAGGTCCCTGGTTCAATCCCCGGTATCAAACCAAACCAAACCAAACCAAAAAAGTTTAAAGAGAATTAGAAAAGGTTGAATACATAGAGTGCTGGAAGGAGATGGAAACCCGTAAAACCCCTGAGAAATGTCAACACAGGTTCAGGGCAGAAATGTACTTCCGCAGGTTTAGTATGCACTAGTATCACAGTGAATTTGTTAAAAATACAGATGTACTTGCTTTAATAAATCTGCCCTTTTAAAATTTTTTTTGCAGTGCCAGGGACTGAACCACCAGGGGCTTGCTCATGCTAGCTCAGCTCTATCACTGAGCTCCACTCCACAACACAAAGTTGTATTTTAAACAGCAACTGAGCTGATCTGAACATACCTGAGATAAAACTTAAACTACTGCTGCTCATCTTTCTCAGCACAGCAAGTAGTATAGCCCACTTCCAAATCAGCACAGAGCAAGGGGCTTACACTTCATTCTTCCTGCCCCATGATGATTCTACCCAGAAGGCAGAGCCCAGCCTTGGCAGTGAAGGGCAATTACCAGTTATGGGCCTGGTAAATATTAACTGCTGCCCACATGCAAGGCACAGCAGGAGACATATAAACAGTTGCCAAGCTCCCACAGGACCATAACAGTAGCCACTCCCAGCTGTGAGAATCACACTAAAACCACACACCTCTATCTTGAACATTTAACCTTAACCAGTTCAAGACAGAGCGCTTGATCTACCTCCCAACTTCCTATTAACAGATGTACTCCAAACATCCCAATGATTTAAAAACAACAAATAAAACAGCAGCACATCCTGATGTTCTCCTTTTGTGTAAGCCGTGTCTGACCCATCACCACACCCTGACCATTCTGCCTCCACGTTTGACCTGCAATCTAATTCTCTGGATTCTATGCCAACCTTATATTTTGGGTGCCACCACATTCCACTTGGACCAAGTCTTTGGAGTGATCTTTGCCCTTACAACTTTGTAGCTCTCCATTCTTTTTGTGACAGCTGAGCCATCTTCATAAAAAATGTTCCAATGCACCTCAAACAAAATCCTCACTGTGGCTTATGAGGGAAAAGTGGCCCGTGTCTACCCTCCCAACTACACATATCCTACTTTCTCTGGTTTTACAGTAAGGCCACATGCTCATCATTACTCAGGCTTCAAGCATCACTACTCTGGAGAAGCTGACACTTAAAAAAGCAAGCCCTGCATGCCAGTTATCTCTGTCCCTTGTCCTGGCTGGTTTCCCCAGTAAAGCAAATCATATACCTGTCTTACTCTACTTCACAGTTGTCTCCCAGGGCCTGGCAAAATACCCAGTATATAAACTCATCAGGAAGGTG